ACTGACATCAGGAACCTGGCCTGGAGTTTTGTTTCCCAGGGAAACTGAAACAATGGCAAACAAATGAGCAGGCTCCTGGTGCCAGTGTGCAGGAGGCACTAGGGACTCTCAAAGCAGCCTGAGTTTGCGGTGGTGGCATCTTAACACTGGCGGAATCTTGCACTCTGGAAAAATGAGCTGGCAGTCATCCACTCCAGACACAAGCAGCTGAAGACCGATGCCGGAGTTTTCCCTCAGAGACAAAACTCACCAGTCCAGGTTCCTGGTATCAGTTTGAAGGGGGCACTTGGGACTCTCAAAGCAGCCTGAGTTTGCAGTGGAGGCATCTTAAGTCTGCGTGGAATCTTGCGCTGTGGAAAAATGAGCTGGCAGTCATCCACTCATCCACTCGGGGCCACAAGCAGCTGACAAACAGAGCTGGACTTTTCCCTTTTGAAAACCACAAAGCCCAGGGCTCCAGGCGCACTGCAGCTGCAAAGGGCATCCCAAGGGGAACACAAAACTGCCACAACATGGTTTTCTATCCACAGACAGAGATCCCATTCATCTCCCTGTACCTTCACCAGGGACATTGGGCTGCACAACCCACGGGGGGAAAAACTTCCTTCTTTCCCAAATATGGTTTTACATTTTCTTGATACACGAGCTGTGTCAGGGGGTATAGCTCAGTGGTAGAGCATTTGACTGCAGATCAAGAGGTCCCTGGTTCAACTCCAGGTGCCCCCTCCTTTTTTTCCTCTTTCCACCTTCCTTTTGCTCAAAATTTGCCACAGGAAGAATCCATGGAGAGCTCTGAGCTTGTGGGGTGTTGTTTCTGAGCTGCAGCATCCAAGGAACAGAGGCTCTGCTGGAAGAGTTTTATGGTTGTGCTCTTCTCTGTGCTTAATTCTCTGTAATCACCACCAGAATTTGTTTTTTATTGTATTTATTAAGTTATTGGATTGATTTTTATTTCTTAATGATTTATTTTATTTCTTAAATGGTAAGGAAAATGTAATTTTTACCATCATTTACCACGTTTAACTTGCTGTAGCTTTACCAACTTCCTCTCTGGAGCTGTCAAGGGAAGAAATCCAACCCCTGCAAATCAAAAGATTTTTCTTTCCCAATAAATGTTTTTAAATGTGCCTGGTGCAGCAGCTGTGCCAGGGGGTATAGCTCAGTGGTAGAGCATTTGACTGCAGATCAAGAGGTCCCTGGTTCAACTCCAGGTGCCCCCTCTTTTCTCTTTCTGCTGCTTTTCCCTGGGGATTTTGGGGGGTTTGGTCACCGGGCTGGCAGCTCAGCCTCTTCTCCTGCTCATTCCTTTTCCAGCTGCAGACAGAGATGGAAGCCGGAGGAAAAAAATGTCAGAGACTCCAGGGAGGTTCAGAGCACTCAGGGGACAGACTGAGACTGGGAAGGTATCGGAATAAACCACTCAGGACTCCATTTTCTTCACGGTGGAGAAAGCCCATTCTTTAGTCACATAACTTACTTTTATACATTTTATACAATTTTACACATTTAATAAAATTTTTATACCATTTTACAGCCCTTGTGTGTGAGTCCAATTGGTCAGCAGCTTTCTTGCCAGTTATTGGTCAGCAAGGAGTTGCTATTCTGTATTGATGGGTCACTCAAACTCTCTGTGTGTACATGCAGGAAAAGTTGTTTATGAGAGCTAATTTTCATTTTTCTAACGGTGCAAAAACAGTTTATACAGGTGTAAGTTGTTTTTTCACCCAGGAACAGGTTGCTATGATAACAAACTGCTGACATCAGGATTGCTTTCACATGGGAACCTGCAAGGTGTTAGCTTCCTTTAGGAGAAATGACAGAATAACAGAGCAGGCCTGATCTTGAGAGGCCCTTTTCTTATCATTTTTCCACTTATAATTTCCTTTTTTTTCTCAGAATTTTTCCCAGGAAGCAAAGGAAGGAGCTGGGGAGGAACTGGGCCAAGGCCCCATGTGGGAGTGCAGTTGCTCCATGGCTGCTGCTGCTGCCACCCCACAGGTTCTGCAGAAACCAAATCCACAGGAAGAGAAAACTCAGGGATTTTGGAAAAACATCCTTGAAATGTTTTATTTTGCTGACAGGAGAGTAGGGGGTATAGCTCAGTGGTAGAGCATTTGACTGCAGATCAAGAGGTCCCTGGTTCAACTCCAGGTGCCCCCTCTTTTTGCTTTTTTTCTCCTTTTCCTTTTGCCCAAATCTTTCAGGAGAAGCTTGGGAAGGTCCTGTGGGATGTGGGAGGTTGTGCTGGGCAGGGAATGTGCGGTGGGAGCAGCAAGGGCCTGGAAAAGTGCAGGGTAGGAACCACTCACTGGCTGCATGCCTTTCTCTGTTTTTAATTTTCTGGAGCAACCATTTACCAGAATTTCTCATAATTCCCATCACTTTCCATAATTCCCATCACATCATTTCTCATAATTTATCACATTTAACCCCCTGCACAGCCTTGAGCAGGCACAGGGAAGGGATCCAACCCACAGAGAGAAAAACCTGAATTTCTAAAAATGATGTGCCAGGGGGAGAGCATTTGAGTGCAGATCAAAAGGCATCTGGTTCAGCTCCAGGTGCTCTCTTTCTCCCTTTTTTCCATGAAAAAAAAAATGAGGAAGATTCCTCCTTTTTTATACCCCCAGTGTCTGTGCCTGCACTCACACAAATCACAAGAAATACTTGAATGGATTTGTTTACTTGTTTACATACTGATATCTCTTCCTAAATAAAAATAAATGCAGAACTGACCTTTGAAAGCTTTGAAAATCTTATAAAGTAGGTAATTTTTGTAAAGTTAAGACTAGTATTTGATCCTATTGATTACTTAGCAAAGTATTACTTTCCCTGCAAGCTGCATGATGACTAACATAAGCACTTAACAGTTTAATTCCTTAATGAGAATGCATTTTCTGGCAAAAATAGGGAATTATGTCTTATGTCTAAAGCTCTTGTGTGGTGTTCATTTTCCGTATTGTGTATCAATGAAGGGTTGACAACTCCAGGATTAAAAACTGAGCATTCCACTAGAAAAAAAAAAATCCTACAGGAATCCAACTTCCGGGGCAGCGACAAAGCCCAGACACATTTGTTTCTGTGCAGATTTGGTTGGGACATTTTCTCACAGTGGGAACAAAACCTGAGCTGGGTTTAAGGGCTTTTATCATTCTTTTTTTTGATATGAGTAAAGACAGGGGGTATAGCTCAGTGGCAGAGCATTTGACTGCAGATCAAGAGGTCCCTGGTTCAACTCCAGGTGCCCCCTCTTTTCTCTTTTTGCTGCTTTTACACCCTTCTTTCCTGCACAAATTCCTCACATACAGACCACGGAGAGCCGTTCTTACCCCCCCGAGGTCTTGGAAATCATTTGGTGATGTTTTGCCAAGCCTGACTTCCCACTTTGCCACTCTGCTTTCCTGAGTTCTGCAGGAAACACACAAACTCAACAGCTGCAGCTCGAGTTTTTCCTGTTGGAGTAATTGCCCTGTATTGACACAGTGCATTATGAGTACAACACATTTCTAGAAGTCACTTTGGAGTAATTACCCTTAATTTACACAGTGAATGACTGTAAGTAACGCGTTCCTAGCAATCACATGTTTCCTCCAGGCTCTGAACCTCCTCTGGGTCCGGCTGGGTGGCTGCAATGCCACAGCTCATCGTCTGGGCAGCCCCGGGGCTCGAACCCGTGATCCTCGGCCCCGCAGGGGGCGGCGCTGCCCCGGAGCCACGCCCCGGGCGCGGGGATTGGGGGGGCACGGGGGGGCGCGGCGGGAGGGTGCCGCAGGGGCAGCGCGCCGGGCTGGGAACCGCAACGACACGGGTTCGAACCCGCCCTGGCTCCACAGGCGAGACGCCGGCTCTGCCCCGGGAGATCACAAGCTCCAAACTGTGAGATCGCGGCTGTTATCCCAGGAAATCAGTGCTTTTATCCTCGGAGATCACGGCCGTTATCCCGGGAGATTACTGGTGGTATCCCGGGGCATCACTGGCTCTATCCCGAGAGGTTCGCCAACACTGTTCCGGAAAATCGCCAACTCTGATGCGCCCGGGCACAGGAAATCCTTCTGACCGAGCCCAGGCACAGGCCGGGCTCTGCCCCGGAGCAGGCTGTGCGTCACTGCACTCGGGGCTGAGCGCTTCGGCACCCAAGGTCCGAGCCAGAGGCGCTGCCCGCCCCCTCCGCGCGTCGTTGTGACGGGCACAGCCGGACAGACTCGTCCCGTGGCTTTGGGTGCTTCTGGAATTACTCACTTCATCATTTCCAGGCGTTTCTTTGGCATTGCTGCAACCAGCCTCATTTGAAACAGGCTCAGATCTTGTCTGAATTCTCTGGCCGGGCTGGCCGGGGCTTGGAGCAACCAGGGATAGCAGAAGGTGTCCCTAACCATGGCAGAGGTGGGAATGGAGAGCTTTGGGGTCGCTTCCCACGCAAACCATTCTAGATTCCATGAACAGGAATGAAAACATTCCCCAGGCCCGGTACCGAGGGGCCTCCCCCCAGGTTCTTTCTCTTCCTCCTCGTCCCGCACTGCCCCTACTGCGCACCGCCATCTTCCCCGCCGCCTTAGCGGCGCGCCGGAAGAGACGCACTAAGGACGAAGATGCGCGGAACACCGAGCGGTGGCACTCGCTGGTGACGTATTTCCTGTCCCGATAGCGGCGGGGGACGCCCTCGCCCGGCGGCCGCGATGGGGGGGGGAGACCTGGTGAGAGGAACCGGGGGGGCTGAGAGGGGAATGAGGGAACCAGGGGGGCTGAGAGGGGCCAGGGGAGCTGAGGGGGGAATGAGGGAACTGGGGGGCTCAGAAGGGAACGTGAAGGGGGTTGGGGGGCTGGGAGGAGGCGGGCAGTGAGAGGGCACTGAGGAGTCTGAGGGGGGGCCGGGGGAGGGAGCTCAGCAGGTTCGGGTGTTCTGAGGGGAGCTGGGGAGGGGAGCGTGGGGGGTCTGAGGGGAGACTGAGAGGGGTCAGTGGGTGCTGAAGGGGCCGGGGCTGTGGGAGAGGCCTGAGTGCGGAGGGGTCCTGGGGGGCTGAGGAGGGGCTGAGAGGCCGCAGGGCCGGGATGTGCGGCTGCCCCGGGACTGAGGCTGCTCCCGGGGCCAGCGGGAGCCGCGGCTCCGTTCTCAGGGCCCGGCTGCCGGCGCTGCTGGGCTGCCTCCGCCCCTCGGTGCCAGTCCCGGTGTCAATCCCCTCTCTCCGCAGAACCTGAAGAAGAGCTGGCACCCGCAGACGCTGCGCAATGTGGAGAAGGTGTGGAAGGCGGAGCAGAAGCATGAGGCCGAGAGGAAGAAGATCGAGGAGCTGCAGCGGGAGCTGCAGGAGGAGCGGGCGCGGGAGGAGATGCAGCGCTACGCTGAGGACATGGGCACCGTGCGGTGAGGGGACAGCGACGTGGGGACTGTGTGTGACAGCACAGGGACATGGGCACAAGGACGCAGGCATTGCGTGTGACTGCACAGGGACACGGGCGCCATGCGGTGACATGTCCACCGCGGGGGACAGTACGAGGACAGCACGGGGGACTGTATAGGGGACAGTACAGGACAGCCAGCCCTGGCCAGCCTCTGGGGCTGGGGTGGTGCTGCCCATGCCCCTGGCAGAGCTGTGGGGACAATGGCTCTGCTGCTCGTGGGATGGGTTGGGACAAAAGGGACAGCAAAGCCCACCCAGTGCCACCCCTGCCGTGGCAGGGGCACCTCCCACTGTCCCAGTGCTTCCAACCCCAGTGTCCAACCTGGCCTTGGGCACTGCCACAGCTGCTCTGGGGTTTCTGTTCCATCCCCTCCTTGCCAGGGAGGATTTCCTTCCCAAAATTCCAACCCTGCCCTCTCTCAATTCAAATCCATTCCCTGTGTCCTGTCTCTCTATCCCTCGGCCCAAATCCCTCTCGAGCTCTCCTGGAGCCCCAGTCATGCACTGAACAACTCCTAGCAGGTCACCCCAAAGCTTTTCCGGGCTGAACAATCCCATTCCTCTGATCCCATCCTTGGGGCCGTGTCCCACAGCTCCAACCCCAAACCATCCCTGCTCACCTTCCAACAAAGCCCTGCAGGCAGCAGAATGAATAAAGGGCGAATAAATAAATATATTCCATTAAATATATTAGATAAATATATTGCTATCTTCTTTGTTTGGCACAGGAAGCGTGAGGAGAAGCTGGAGTGGATGTACCAGGGCCCCGGCGGGATGGTGAACAGGGACGAGTACCTGCTGGGGCGCCCCGTGGACAAGTTCATCCTGGACAAGGTTGGGGACAGGGACAGCGCTGGGGACACGGGGCTGCTGCCCGGCTCCATCTTTGCCAGGGCTGGGGCCAGCTCCGTGCTGGACATGGCCACCAAGATCCGTGAGGACCCGCTCTTCATGATCAGGTGTGGAGAGACAAGGCAGCTTCACAAGTTACAAATCAGCCTGGGTAAAAAACAGCCAAACTGGTTACAAATCAGCCTGGGTCAAAAGCACTTAAATTGATTAGGAATGTTATATTATCTGGTAAATATATATCCTTTAATATATATATATGTTCTATATCTTCTTTGTTTGGCACAGGAAGCGTGAGGAGAAGCTGGAGTGGATGTACCAGGGCCCCGGCGGGATGGTGAACAGGGACGAGTACCTGCTGGGGCGCCCCGTGGACAAGTTCATCCTGGACAAGGTTGGGGACAGGGACAGCGCTGGGGACACGGGGCTGCTGCCCGGCTCCATCTTTGCCAGGGCTGGGGCCAGCTCCGTGCTGGACATGGCCACCAAGATCCGTGAGGACCCGCTCTTCATGATCAGGTGTGGAGAGACAAGGCAGCTTCACAAGTTACAAATCAGCCTGGGTAAAAAACAGCCAAACTGGTTACAAATCAGCCTGGGTCAAAAGCACTTAAATTGATTAGGAATGTTATATTATCTGGTAAATATATATCCTTTAATATATATATGTCCTATAAATGTCTTAATATATATATATATCCTATAAATATATATATTATCCTGTATCAAAAGCAGATAAATTGATTAGAAATATTATATTATCTGGTAAATATATATCCTTTAATATATATATATGTTCTATACATGTCCTAATATATATATATATATATCCTATAAATATGTATATTATCCTGTATCAAAAGCAGATAAATTGATTATAAACATTATATTATCCTGTAAATATATATCCTTTAATGTCTATATCCTATAAGTGTCCTAATATATATAAATCCTTTATATCCTAAATATATATATTATCCTGTATCAAAAACAGGATCGATTAAATTGATTATAAATATTATATTATTCTATAAATATATATCCTAAAACCTATAAATATCCTAATATATATGTATTAGGATATATATCTATCTTAATATATATCCTATAAATATGTATATTATCCTATAGGAAAAGGGGGAACTCCTCCTCAGTTTTGCTAAATACACAACATTTCTCTTTTTTTCTGCTTGCTGTGTTTTTAGAGCTTGCACTTGCTGGATCCTCTCTGTGCAAATGTGATTAAAAAACTGATTTTTTTTTCACCCCCTGCTTTAGGAAGAGGGAGGAGGAAAAGAAAAGAGAAGTTTTGAACAATCCAGTGAAGATGAAGAAAATCAAAGCCTTGGTAGGTGTGAGGCAAGGTAGGGGAGGAGCAAAAATCAAAATTTTTATTGTCCAGGACAAGGAGCTGAGCTCTGTTTGCTCCTTAAACTCCTCAATTTAGAGAGAAAATCTCATTAAACGAGCCTAACATGCCTATAAATTTAAATTTTTATATCTGTACATATAAATTTATGTATATATACATTGCAATTTATAAATGGCTATAAATAAAGAGTAGTTTCCCCTTTTCTTATAATCAAAAATTTGCATTTATAAATTGCTATAAATTTTTAAGTCTTCTTAAATGAGATTTTCTGGCTTGAAATTTATAAATGGCAGTAAATTTTTATAAGTATCTCTACATATTTATGAAGATACATCTCTTGTAAACACTGCAAAGACTTTTTTTATACCTTTAAATAGAAAAATCCTGCAAACGTCTTTAAATTAAAAGATAATTTTTAAAGATTTGTTTGGCTTCAGTTTTTGTGCTTTTCCACATGGAATTTGGTATCTTTCCTGTGGTCCTGAGGGAATTTTTTGCTTTGCAGCTGCAGAACAGTTTGGATAAAAAGGAGAGGAAGAGAAAGAAGGAGAAGAAGAAGAAGCACAAGAAGCACCGGCGGCGCAGCTCCAGCAGCTCCAGCTCCAGCTCTGAGGAGGAGAGGCCCAGAAATAAGTGAGTTTTACTTTTTTTTTTTTCCAAAACCACCTCCATTCCTGCTTGTTTTTCACCTGCTCTCTCTCAGTTTTTTTTTTTCTTTTTAATCAACGCTTTTAATTAAGTGTGTTAAATTGTTGCTTCATTGGTTTTACATCATTAATGTGTGGTAAAAATGGTTTTATTTTGGCAATTTGCTTGCTTCAAAAGGACTTTCTTTTCTTTCTAGGTCTCAGAAGAGGGTGGATAATTCCTCCTGGAAGGCTGCTCCTTCCAAAATCCCAGGATATGGCTTACAGGTACACCCTGGGAGGGGGAAAACCAGAAGTTTTGGGAATTGCGGCAGCTGGAACAGGAATGAATACATTTTAGATTCAATTTGGAGCCATCGAAGCCTTGAAATTCAAATTATTCCGGATTTTTGCTTGGAATTTGGGATAAGGTTGTTCAGGTGCGCCTCATTATCCGTGGAGTGGGTGGGAAGGGACTCAAAGCCCATCCTGTCCCACGGGCTCCCGCTGTCCCAGGCTGCTCCAGCCTGTCCTGGGACACTTCAGGCATGCAGGAGCAGCCACAGCTCCTCTGGGAATCCCACCCCAGGGAGGAATTCCCTCCCCCAGCTGTGCCAGCCCCAAACCTTCCCCCTCTGCCCTGTGTGGGGCTGCTCCCACGCCGTGTTCCCTCTGAATTCCAGGTGAGGGACGCCGAGGCAAGGCCGCGCTCCCGGGGCTCCCCGGGCCAGGACAGAGCCCCCCGGGAGTGCTCCCGGAGCCCGTCCCGCTCTCCCCAGAGGCATTCCAGCAGGAGGAACCCCCAGAGGAGCTCAGCATCTCCCTCCAGGCACAGCAAACAGTGAGTGGGGGAAAGCACGGGAATTCCCTGCAGTCCTGTGGGGGCTCTGCTTCCTTTTTCCCGTCTCTGTTGGAGTCGGGATTGAAGGCACTCGAGAGCACAGCTGTGTTCAGACTCAGGTCTGTACTGTTTCTTACCAGTGCTACAGTCTCACAGCGGTGGGTTCTGCAGTCTCTCATTAGGGAGGCAGAAAATGGCCAACTATCTCTTGTTACGAGATCTTTTATATCCAATTAAGAAATGTCACCTAAATTATTTTCCCTTTAACCCAATAACTGATCACTCAAAGCCCGCAGTGTGGGCTTTTCTGCCCAGTTACAAAATACCAGCCAAAGCCATGAAGAAGGAAGAAAGAAGAAGGTGAAGAACAACCTGCCTCTGCTCTAAAACCTCCATCTTGCTTCATATTTATTACTATATTTTAAAACCCCAGACTCTTTAAGTTTTCCACCCTGTGATATTACACACTTCTAATCAACTCCACATCCATAATCCCAGTGCTGTCAATCAATTTTGGAAGCCTGTTCCACGGCCTCAGGTCAAATGCAGTGTTCTCCTGGGAGTCAGAGTCTGTCAGCACAGAAAGTTTACAATTCTCAGCATCCAGGGTTCCAACACAATCCCATCCCTGCTGTCCCATTTCTGCCCTGCAGCTGTCTGGGTGCTCCCAGGAGGGGACAATCCCAGTTTGTGCTGGGGACACCCTCTCCAGTCATACCCCTGAGGTGTTGCTGTAAATGGGGTTTGCTTGAGCTCCCAGTTCCCTTCAAACAGATCATTCAGAGCTGTTAAATTACTTAATACAGATAAAATTATGAAAACAGATATTGATTGTTGATAGAATCCTAGTTCTCTTCAAATTGATCATTCAGAGCTGTTAAATTGCCTTTATTTAATACAGGTATTTTTACATATATTTTTACAGAAATTTATTGCCTTTATTTAATACAATTGCCTTAATTTAATTGCCTTAATTTAATAAAATTCTAATAACGGGTATTTGTCGATTGTTGATAGAATCCCAGTTCTCTTCAAATGGATCACTGAGCTGTTAAATTCTCTTTATTTAATACAAATAAAAGTATGAAAGGCGGTTTGTTGTTTGCTGATGAAATAATTAAAAAGTAGATTCAGAGTTTATTCAGATGAGGGTTGTTCCTAGAGTGGCCAGGTAACAGCGCTGCCGCTGCGGGAGCCACCTCAGCCTCAGGATGTATTAAAACACCCAGGAATGTTTATAAGTGTTTATAAATGCGATCAAGATCATAACAAATGTGGATTTTGGTGCTAATGAGGGCGATTTTGGGGTTGCAGGCACAGCAGCCGGGAGGAGAAGGACAGAGCCAGGAGCCCTTCCCCCAAAAAGAGCTTCAGGCGCCAGCACCCCCCGGGCTACACCAGGTCAGTGGGACCCTGTCCTGTCCCTGTGCTGGGGACAGACCCCTGGGGCTGGCCTCTCTTGTACCCTCAGTTACTCTTTTATTTTGATATTTGCATCAAAATAAATCCTGTTCTCATTAGGATATTAAAGGCTGGTGGAAGTTCTCTGTGTGATGGTTCCGTTCTCTCTTAGAACCCAACTAAACAATCGCTGATTTTGCTTTTTTAATTAGTCTCACTCCTGCAGGTGCCTTACTTTAATTTATAGCTGGGCAGATTTTTGTCTCTGCCAAACTGTGATGGTTGTGAAAATGGTTTTATGGAATGTGTCTCTCTTTTATGGAATGTGTCTCTCTCTCCAAACAGGAAGATCTCTCCTGAGGAGCTGGAGCGAAAACGTCAGGAAATGATGGAAAATGCCAAGTGGAGGGAGGAGGAGAGAGCCAACAACCTCAGGAAGCACCGCAAGGAGGAGGAGCTGGAGAGGGAGCTGGAGAAACTCGACTCCAGGGATGGGAAATTCTTCCAGTGAGTCTTTTACCCCCTCCTCATCCAAGGGCAATCCTGCTCCTGGGGGATGGCCTCGGTGTCTGGGGTGGTTCAGACCATGGGACTGCACATCTCCCCTGTGGCTGACAGAGCTGCTGCTCCCAAATCTTCCCCTCAACTCAAAAAATGGTTCTTGCTGATTGGGAGTCAGACCCAAGCTGGGCATTGCTGATGTTTTGCCACTCTGGGAGTGTTCTATGTGCAGATATTAATTTAGAAATAATTTTATAAATTATATATTATGTTTCTTTTACTTTATCTGTTTTATTATTGATATATATTTATTGTTATATTTATTGATTTATTAAGAATAATTTAGAAGTTCTCTGGTTTTGGGAGCTTGGGAGTTTGAGGCCTGCAAGTCCCTGTGAATCTTTGGGACTGCAGTCTGTGTTGGGAATTTAATCCCTTGCGCTCATGGCAGCAAAGCCCTGAAGCTGCCCAGAGCTGGGATCACAAAATCACAGAATCCTGGAATGGTTTGGGTGGGAAGGGACCCGAAATCCCCTCCAGTGCCACCCCTGCCGTGGCAGGGCCACCTCCCCTGTCCCAGGCTGCTCCTGGGACACTGCCAGGGATCCAGGGACAGCCAAGGTTCTCTGGGAATTGCATCCCAGCCCCTCTCCACCCTCCCAGCAAGGAATTCCATCCCAGTATCCAGTCTCTAGTGGAAAGCTGCTCTCCTCCAGTCAGGGTTGTGATTTCTGTCTCTGCTCCTGTTCCCTGCAGCCGTTTGAAGCTGGAGAGTGCCTCCACCTCCAGCCTGGAGGATCGGGTCAAGCGCAACATCCACTCCCTGCAGAGGACTCCTGCTGCCCTGGAAAAGAACTTTATGCAGAGGTGAAGCCTGTCCTGCCCTGCCCTGGGCAGGAGCTCAGTGGATGTTTGTTCCCAGAGGTGAGAGCCCTCCAGGAACAATTCCAGCTCCCAGAGAGGATCCCGGAGCTGAGCCCTCAGAGCCCTCTGCGTTTGGGGCCCTTGTGTTCCATTTCTAACCTGTTGCCAGAGCTTCTCCTCCTCTCCCCGCCTGACTGGTGTCACTTTTGTACGTTATTACCTGACTCTGCTGGCTGGTCACTGCTTCCTCCTGTGCCAGAGCTGAAGATCTATTTTTGTTAATCCTTAAAATCCAGAGCAGAACCGATCCACACGTGAGGTGATCGCATGGAATTTGACAGAACTGTATGAACCCTGTTCCACACTGTCACCCTTTGCACCCGCACCCCACAGTGGGGTGTCTGTGGCTGGCATTTGGTGGCTCACAGATTTATTTCATTGATCTCTGACCCAAAAAAGCAGTTTCGGGGGAGGGGGGGGGGGGGGAGGGGGAATGAGTAGAGCATAGCTGACACAGCAAACATTTCTCTGGGATTTTGTAATGTAAGTAATGTGTATATGTACAGCAGTGTAGATTTATTTTACCTTTTTAATTAAGAAACTTCGCTGTCGTTTGTTAAATGTCCTTGGTGGCTCTGGGGGGATGGGAGGGGCAGGGCTGGATTGGCTGTGGGCGGGAAGGGTCGGTGAGGGTTCGGGAGGCCGCAGCAGCCCCTTCCCGGCTGTGTCCAGCCCGCAGGCCGCGCCCCGGGGCCGGGGGGTCTCCGTTGTCCCCCCGAGGGTCCCGGCGGGGTCCCCAAGCAGCCGCGGGCCCTTTAAACGGTGGCGCGTGACGTGTGTAACAGCCCATTCATAATTCCAGCCGCCTCGCTGCTGATTGGCCCTTTCACAGCGGGGCGTGGCCCTTGCTGGCGCGTCACACCGACTGGGCGAGACCATCTCCGGGAGGAGGAGGAAGGAAGGAGGCTTTTTTCCCCCTCTGTCTCCTTCTCCATCCGTTATCCCTCTCCATTGTTCCCCCTCACAGCCCAATGTGCGCCGCGGCTCTCCCCGCTCCTGCCGCAGCCCGAGCCGCCGCTCTCCCGCCGCCAGCGCCCGCCGCTTCCCCCGCTCGGGCGGGACATGGCACCTCCCGCTCCCCACCCCCTCAGCCCGCCGCCATCTTGGCGCTTCCTCGGCGCGGGGCCGGAGCGGGCTCGGCCGGCCGCGGCGGAGCGAACCACCGCGGGGGCGGGCGGGGGGG